TGAAAGGTTTCCATCTGTCGAATAGTGCGTCAATGTTGCTTGCTGTCCCTCCCTGTTCAGTGATTGGTCCCCACATCCATGCAGAAACGTGGTCCCCCGATTGAAAATAAAGAAGAAACCCACAATGACAAAAGCAGTTGTTTCAAAATTATCAATTCAAAAACTGATTATGAATAAATAGATGACAACACCTGAAATGCAGTAATAAAACAAACATTGGTCCATAGGGGATGCGAGATGCCCTGGATCATCACTGACACGTTTAGAAGTTGTCCTTGTAAATATTGGTTTAATGACAAAGAAAGGAGGAGATCCGAGGTACTCTTGACAGTAAAGAAAAATCCTTTAATGAACAGGGAAGAGTATGAGATGGATTTTTATTTACTGTCAAGAATGAATGATTTCCTCTTTTTTCTAATGTTAAAGTGATTTTCTGCAGTTTGTCAGAAAGAGAGACAGAGAGGTGCTTGATTTGAAAAAAACGACGCAAGCTCCCTCCCCCTTCCTTTCTGATTGGTCTACGCCTACGTTTCCGTAACACTTTTAAATGTTAATCAGAGAACACATTATACATGTACATTATTAATACACATGCACGGAGGTTTTCAGAATTATTTAACTAAGGCTTGCGTTAATAGCAGAAAGTGAACGCTGATTTCATTTGAACCATAGCTCCTAAGACTATTTACAAAGAAAAGAAGAGCACAGCATATCTTGGTTGCACATCAAACCACTTTTAAAGCAGTCCACTTCTTGCTTAGCATTACTCAACACTTGTATAATTAATCTACAGGAAGCATCCCTTGGATAACTGTCCCTATTAAGTGAAAAAAGCTAGACTGTGTTTAAGGAACATTGTATTCGTTCCACTTTTGCACGGTAGACATATTTTCTCCATAGCTCCTCTATCTTTTATGAATAATCCTAGCCCTCCAGGCGCAGCTCACTTTAGGGTTATAGAAAACTTTTCGTCTGGTTGTGTATCTCAAAGACAGACTATTGCAGGTGCACCACAAGCTAAGATGGGAAAGTTCTATCTATCTAAAAGTTTTGATATACATTTGAATGATGGAATTGTGCTCTATATTCATCAGTCTTATATTGTGAGCTCCTCGCTCCTATTGTTCTGTAACTTGTGATGCAACACTGAAATTTCCCCAATGCGGGACAATAAAGTCTCTTCACTCTAATCTTAATGATTAATTGCGCTTATTTTAGTTTTTAAAAAAGGTTAGCAATTATCCAACGCCCATGTCTATTATTGAATAAATGCCTATCAGAAATGTCAAAGGATTCTGCATCATTCGAAGGTTTATGCTCATAATTTAGAAACAAATCTCTTTCTAGGGACTGCTCAAACTTATATGCAGCTATTTAGTTGGCACCCGGTACAAAGCAGGTTCCTGCAGTGCAAAAAGAATTGAGTGTATTTGAATTGGCGACTCTGGCCCGGGTTGCTTTGAAGGCTTCATTCCCGCAGTCTAGTACCTTTGATTGCCGTCGTACAAAGGCGAGGATTGTTAATAGAGCTGAGAGAAGGTGGGGTAAAGAAAGAGCTATACTGAGAAAGATATATTACCCGCAGCCACAAAAAAAAATGCACTACCCATTTTTTTCAACACAATCAATAGAAAAAATACTGCAGGATATTTGAAACAGGTTTATCAATATCAGATGTGTCTAGGCTCATTAGATCGGTCACAAGTCAATATTTAATCCTTTTTATACATAATTTAAACAGGCATCTGACAAGGTTACTGCTATATGTCCAGTTCGCACAGGGCCGTGTGGAGGGAGCGGAAATGAAACGGTGAAGGGGAAGAGGAGGAAGTAGTGAGTTAAAAAAAGCCTGTAGTCGCCTACCTGCTGTGATCCCTCTCATTATCCCTGTGCTGCTGCCCCTCTCATGCAGCCCATGCAGCTGCAGCAGAGTCTACACAACCACAACACAATTTACATTACATACATATCTAAAACACATGTTGTCTAACGCCGATGCCCATAGGCTTTTATAATTGCATATATTTGTTTAATTGTATTGACATACAATTTTGACAATTTGGTTGGGCTTCAGAAGAACCCTTTTTGAAGCAGATAACATTAAAAGACAACTCTGTTAAACGCTGTTTCAACGAATTAACAGTCTCAGGGAATGTTTTGAGAGTGAACTAAAAATTCACACATTTTTGAGCGTGAATTACAAGCACAAAATGTTCCTCCATCAAAACAGCAGCAGTGAAAATTGAATCTGATTCTAGATTGATGTGCAGCAGTCAGAAAAGTTCTGCTACACAACAAGCTTGACGGCTCGATGGGGGAAAGCATGAGGGGAAAGACAAAGGGATCCATCAGTGTGATTGGTCAAAGCGACACAATATTGGAAGTAGCAGAGAAATACATTAAATCTGTGGCGTCTGCGTTTTTGTTGGTTTAATTGTGTACTTCTACTAAAACAAGGTCACTGTGACACATTAAGATTACTTACTTACTAAAACAAAAATTCGGTCCTGTGACTGGACAAACAACTAATATCTTTTGATCATCTTTTCATCCAAAAAAGTGTAGGCAATCCAAGTGGAAGGGGAAAAAAAACTCATCTAGAATGAATAGACTGGTGGTACTGGGAGAAATATTTCTACTACAGGTTAGATAGAACATCAGCACAATTGTAATTTAATGAAAAGCCTTTCACGGTACACATTTTAATCATGGCCAAGGTTAGCAAAAATAAGGCAGTTATGTCTTAAAGAATTAAAAATAAATTATTGCATGCAAGGCCTGAAAGCTGTCAGAAATGTCTTTTTAAAACACCTCTCCAATTCCAAACAAGTAGTAGTAGCTGGTTTTCTTCACACAATTTCATACTTAACTTACTGTAAGTAATAGTGACAACCGCCACAGTGGGGCGGCTGTGGCTGTGAAGTTCCAAACTCTCAAGACACCCATGTTGTGTATAATGAGTCTGGTGAGTGTCTGTGTGAAAGGTTGGTGGTGGTCGGAGAGGCCAACTGTTCTGTAACTAGTGATGCAACACTGACATTTTGCCACTGTCGGACAAATAAAGGATCTCTTAATCATCATCATCATCATCATCATCGATGCATTAACAAGTGATAATCATGTCATAATAATCAAGATAAGAAAATGATCCATTGATTTAACAAACCAGCCCATAAACTCACCTCAACATTAAACAGAAATAATTAGTAGATTAGCCTTGATTTGTCACCTCGGTGATTCGTCCTCTGCATTTGACCCGTGCACAGGTCAAAAGTGTATTAAACCAGCATTGCAAACACCTTTAGAAAAGAGTAACACATGGTCTATTTTTCACATTTTGAACAGTTCTGGAAGAGTTATCTATAAAACCTACAACTATTTGTGTAATTAACCTTGGGAAATGGGTTTTCATTACCTCTTATCAGAAACCCATTATCAGCAACTTATTTTAATTAGCTGTTTATGAATCCTTTTTTCGAAAGAGTATGGGACTAACATCATACAGAGGCTAATAAATTATGGATTTTCAGACTTAACTGTCCCTGGACTCCATTTTACGTCATTCTTTTTATTCTGTTTTGCCATGTAGTCACCGATAAGAATTGCATTATTAGCTGGAACCTCAACACTAACAGGATTTATTATATTGAAATCCTGCCTCACAGCACCAGACCTCTCTCCGTCTGCCTCTCTGTAATTATTTCACTTTATCTGTCTCTCCATCGCTCTGCTCCATTGCCACTGCCATTCCATTAATCTCAGCAACAGATTGCTTCTTTTAATTAGTCCTCATCTCCTATCTTGCATGTAATAATTAGGTAATGGAGATATTAGGATATATAGGAAGTTCCGCGTTTACATTGCCTTTTCATTTCCAAGGAGATTAGGAGGCTTGTTGGTCGGATATCCCCAGAGAATCAGCAATTGCCAATCAGGAAATTGTCAATGATTTATCATATGACAATGTCATATCACAACAATAACTGAATATGTCTCTTTGTTTCATAAAAGCATTTGAATAAGTATTATTTTATTGCAGCTGATAATGGCTTATTCAGAACACAACAGAACAAACTATCAGAGGCTGTTTGTCTAACATCTCCTCCTTCATTTGGTCTCGGTGAGGTCATGCACGGATGCGCTGGGAAGTGTCAATGCATGTCTCTTGTTAATTGGAAGGTCCAAAGGTGCATTAAACAGACTTGGACGGGAGACAGCAGTAATTACCAAAGCGCTTCATTGTTAGAAGAGTGGCGCATTGTATTGCACGTAATTGCACACTCGGCTTGAGATAAAAAATAGCCATTTCTATCAATTCCCAGCAGGGCAGGGAAACGCTATCATTGTGATCTCATCCTATCTCTTGATCTTAAAAACTGACCTCTGTGGCTTCTAATGTGGATGACTTATGAGGCGTTCTCTTCCTGGAGGCAACAAGTCCGAGCGGTCTTAATGGCTGACGCGCCTTTGGACACGTTACTCAGCCTAACAGTGCCTGAGGGGCCCGACCTAATGAAAAGAAAAGAGATTGAACAGAAGACCCCTACAGCACATCATTAGAGCATTTTACATGGTACACACAGAATAGAAGGAAAAGACCACCGCCATGGTGTGAAGATGCAACATCAGCAGGGAGCTTTTTAAAGGTTATTATGATCAAAGTTTATTCTAATATACTACTTCATATTAGACTTCTGCATTCATTCATTGAATACGAGGATTCTTTCATTCATTGGAAAAGGTTCAAAATCCATGTCAAATAACAGTTGCACACTACTAGTTCTCCGAGGCATCGTTTGTGGAATGTTTTTCCCCTTTATAACCAAAACATTTTTATTTCGATTATAAATAATTTGATTGTCTTATTGTTACTTAAGATTGAAAAAGTACAAATAATGCACACAACCCATCCCTTAGGTTGAGATGGGTTGCATTTAATAAACAACTGTGTTCATTTACTGTACGTACATTTGTGAATCTAAACTGTGCCAATGTTGCAGTCTCAAATGAAGATGAAGTCTGCGGCCGTGGTGGATGGAGGCTTGTTTACAGAGAGCTACTGTAACATCTGCAACGCCCAACTCATCTCTGAGTCTCAGCGCACTGCTCACTATGAGGTCCGTCTGCTTTTCCTGTGTCTACAACATAAACAATGCACTGTTTTTCCTGTTTCTATAACCAAACGTTGTACTGAAACCCCTCTTCTGACAGGCGCATTCCTTCAGCGTGCATTAGTCAGATTTGTCCCAGATCTGTGGTCGAGTCCTTCAAACCTGAACTCATCCATTATACATACACTTAATGCAGCATGGTAATGATAGCACTTACATAAACATGCACATGCTGTGTTCTGCTTTATGTACTCTCGTAGACTCCCTCAGACAATTTTAATGAATTATCATTAACTACTCAGCCTTGTGCATTATTTAACTTGGAGGTATGTGTGTCCACTTGTGAGTACTGCAACAAGGTTGCCCTTGATTACAAAGCACAAATGGGATTATTATGTGCACTAATGAGGACAAGGGCCTTATCGGGGAGAGCCAATCAAGGAGAACAACGAGAGCGCCTTTGTGCGTTACCAACTTGTCCTTTCTCTCAATATATGGATAGTAGACGAGCGTCCGTCACCAAACAGCAAATTGACAAACTGTTCCACTGCATTTACACTTGCCACACTTAAGGCTATGAGGTCAGTGAGCCAAGGAAAAGAGAATTATCTATGGGGCATGCAGCACATTCTATATTGAATCAATAATTTCTTGTTGGCTGTTCGCTCATGTTATGTCAATTGAGTCGATGGTCTTAGTGGAGTAGTTATTGTATTACATGTAAAATCATTTATCATACGTTTTTAGCAAAATCAGCATTTTCTTTTAATCAGCACTTTTCATTGTCTTCTGTGTACTGACTTCAGGAAACACTGACTCTGAGGGGAAGTGCAGGGTACAGACATAACCTCCTATTCTCAGCCTATGCCTCAGAGCCATCTACTACAGGCAGCATGGGACTTCAATGTTTCTCTGAGGAGCTTATCTGAAATGAGGAAAAACTCAAAGCAAGTTTTCACATTATTATCGACATGACTGCCATTGTTTGTGTATCACCACTTTCCAATGAAAGGTGTGAAAAAAACCTTTCACTGGCGTCAGATTCGGATCACGCTGAAGATAATAATAGATGTGTTACAGTAGAAGGGAGTCAAGGTCAGGGTAGGCCAATAAAATGATATGTATGGGAAGAGATGGCCACATCATGCAGAGCTGTCAAACACAGGCCATGTTCAGTGTTAAAATGCGTCTGGAGAATTTCATTAAAGAGGTGGTGAGCCGCCCCAAGGACAACACTTGGGATTCAGTTTATTGTTCCATACAGGATCACCAACAATGAAATCACAGGTTAGATCCATAAACATGTTTATTTGATCTTAAAGCTGCACTAACTGACTTTATTTTCGTATTAATTACGAAAATGCTATCCATGTCCATGCAGTGCATTGGGATATACGTCCTTTTGAAGAAAAAGTAGCGCAGATTTGTGCTGGCCTGACATTATATTTTCGATCGAGTTTTGATGAAACAAGGAAGAGAATGTGTTTCGGGTCGCAGATTGTGACCAATCACAGCGCACCACTAGCCCCCACTTTCGTGAGAAATCTCCAGGTCCGTTAGCACAGACAGCTGAGTTAGCACAACAAGCGGCAGAGCTAACCTGAAACTTTCTCGTCTTCGTCACCGGGTACTGCTTACACAGCGAAACAGCCATCCAAAAGAAAGTCTCGTTCCTCCGCGCTTCCCGGTTCTATCGTTCTATGGTCACGCCATCCACGTGAAAATCCATATACATGTATTATCCATATTGAGAGACACTAGCTCCGTCTCAACAGTGTGTGTGTGTGGGGGGCGATAGCTTCGTGGGTGCGGGGAGGGGAGCAGAAAGAGAGAGGCCAGCGAGTCCGCGGCTTCAAAATCCCAAAGTCAGTTAGTGCAGCTTTAAGTTAATATGCGATTACAGTAGGGCTTATTCTGGCGATTATTTTTTTGATTTATCGAAATGGCTTTTTAAAAATAATATGATTCAACATTAAAGATTCATTCAAAAATGTAGAATGTAATTAGTGCTCTGTCTGAAAATCACACACCTCATAGTTATTTTCTGTTTTTAGGTAATGAATGATTTTTTTTTTTTTGGTAATTTACATAATTCAGAAGGATTATGTTTCTCTTTCTCTCTTTTATTTACAGTGTTGACCACGGAAAGTAATCAGCAGATTAGCATAATTAGCTGAACAGAGATAAGACATGGAGCCTATGAGAGACAGAGACTGACTTTCTTCCACTTGATGAAGTCTAGTGTTCTTCATTGCTTAACCCGCCCCCTCTCATTTGTATTTCCAGAGTAAGAAGCACGCCAATAAAGTACGTTTGTTCTACATGCTTCACCCTGAGGATGGAGGACCGCCATCTAAACGGCTCAGACCAGACAACCCAGTAAGTGCTCCTGGCAGAAGTCAGTTTCGATGCATTTTACTGGCAGATATTTCTGTCCAAACATGAGCAGTGATATTGCCAGTTTGCGGATGTGTAGCCCATGTCCTTGACACACTTTCAGTGGGGCTCAAAGTGACCCCCTTCTGAACAAACCTCGTATTCAGTTCAAAGAAGGATTGGCTCATGGGAATAATGGACCACTTTGTTGTACGTGGAATGCACTCCCAAGAACCTGTGTCTTATCCCAGTCTTGCTCCATTGGTTTGGCAGAGACAGAAGAACCATGAGGCTCACTATCACACTGCTGCAGGACATGGTTAGGGAAATCCATGCATTGTAAAACAAAGAAAAAGGGTTGCTGTTATTCCCATCTCGCTCATGATGCCGAGGCTGCAAATGCTACTGGGGTAAATACAAACATTGACCTTTAGATGAAGTGCAATTGGACATTGTCATTACATGTATAATATTCAGTTTCTGGGAGAATGCGTTGAGATTATTCACTTTTTTAATGATTCCTGTATTTTGTTAAATGGTCCAGTCAGAGTTTTCTATTCTGAGCATAAAGTTACGCTAATTTCCATATTATAGTATATAGTATAAACATACGTCACAGGATTAGAACAACTTTTTTGCAACATTTGTTACCTTCAACCAAGTGATCTACGGTATTTGTCTGTTTGTTTGTTTGTTTGTGAGCAACATCAATGAAAACGTTCAGAGATTTGAACCCATTTTCAAGAACTGTTCATACTGGCCCTGTGAATCATGTGTGGTAGGGATTCACGATACATCAGTATATATATCGATATTGATTATTTTTAATAATATTGGCATCGGACCGATGAGTAAAATTGGGCCGATAACCATAACCAATGTGTATTGCGTTACGCAGCAGCGCAAAGTCCTCCGAGGGACAGGAAGTGAATCTCCCCATTAAGAACACTGGGCCTCATTCACGAACGGTTCTTAGGAACAGATTTGTACGTAAATCCTACTTACGCGTTTTTTACGAAGAAAGTGGCATTCACGAATATTTCTCATAACCAGAATTTCTCTAACCTTGCCTGCAAGCTGAATTCTCGCGGTATTTGTGAGTTCACAAACACTCGAGAATACATCTTGTACCGCTCCCGCTTACACTTTTCGAGTCGAACCACTGGGTGTGCGAGCCAATCACGCGCCAGTCTGGGGGTTTAGGGCGGGATATCCGGGTTTGACGAAAGCAAGAAGTGCCGGGCCGAAGCAAAACAAACATGGCTACGCAGGAGGACGGACGCAAAGTCAGTTTTAGCAGAATCTCCAATTTCTTTTTTGAAAGATGAACAGCGAGAGGCGCTTTGTACATTTCTGGACGGCAACCTTGGTAGGCGGGCACACAGCGTCACTTCGCCCAATCAGCTTCAAGTATTCTGCTGCTTACCCCTCCTTTCCCCGAAAGGATTCTCCGGGAGAAATCCCAGATTGATATCGCGGAGAACGCGTTAGAGTTCTACACAATCATCAATCTGGCTTTTGCCAGGTTAGAATTTCTCTTGGGCAAGTGCAAATCCTACGAGTCCTCAGGAGCACTCGTACGCATTCAGTGCCGACATGTTCACATGCGGGGGTTTTCCTCTTTGGTGAAGTTGAACAAAAATACAACATTCCAGTGATATGTCCGTCATATCGATGTATGTATTTATTTATTTGTAGTAATCTTTATTAGTAATCTTTATTTATATACCGCCTTTTTCACTGCAGATCTGGCCTACTTTTTAATTCATTTTGAAATGAAATGTGCCAACGCTTTATCAAATACATTCGAAATCTTGCCGTGTATTAGTGACCCCTTCCTATTTATAGGGGGCATTTCTTTATCCACGGGCCACAGAACAACGGCATATATACTGCTGCTGCAGGAGGTTACTGGGTCCGCGCTGAGTCTCTGCGCTGGTCTCTCCTATGGATCTATACGGGTCTGCACTGGTCTCTCCCATATACGGGTCTGCACTGGTCTCTCCCATGGATCTATACTGGTCTGCACTGGTCTCTCCCATGGATCTATACGGGTCTGCACTGGTCTCTCCCATATACGGGTCTGCACTGGTCTCTCTCCATACGGGTCCGTGCTGCATGCTCCTGGATCCATACGGGTCCGCGCTGGTCTCTCAAGTCTGGTCTATGCGGTCTATCTTCGGTCCGCGCTGGTCTCTGCGCACCGGTCTCTCCAGTCAGGTCACTCCAGTCTATGCGGTCTCTCCTATACATAGTTCCCACAGACCAATGAATGTCACATGACCTCCTCGGAGACGCCATCTTTGATGGCACGCTGCTGTGTTTGTGCATTCCATTAAACAGAAGAATGAGAATAAATGTAGATATTCAAACGCAAATTGGAAAAAAAGGGCAACTTTTGAGCAAATAATTGTATATTAATACAATGGCACCACAGTTTAACGTGCTACGGACATGTTTTACATATTTGATCAAATTATGCAGCAAAAATTAACAAGCAATGCAAACATTTCTCAAAAACTTTAGATTTAATACCAGTTGGAGCTCCATTTAATTATTTTAATTATATTAACAATTAATTTAATTAATGCTAATGCCACACGGACACTCTGGATTGCTGTTATTGTTTATTTCCGCGTTTTTGACCGTATGTTTTGGTGAATGGTGGGCAACTGATTTTTCCAGGCGTAAAGAGCAGTTTATTTTATGACACAGATCTTTTTACAGAAGCAATGCTGTTTGTGAACATTGTTTTAGCCCACCATAGAACTATTATTATCTATTTAATACATTTACGTTGCCCTCGAGAGCCTCGGACGCGACACCGATCCTCCTCATAATAAAGTAATCTAAATAATGAAACTCTCAAGTTACCAGATATCAGCATACACAAGTTAGTACTGAGTAAATTACGTCTGTCAACACATTATAAGATACGATACGCACCTGACACAAAGTGCTCCGAGCATATTCTTGCGTGTTTTGAGGGAGTTTCTTGCCTGTTTATCTTCGCAAGCCATAACTTCCGTCGTTGTTCTGACAAAAGCTTAGTCTTCTCACATTCATGAAGTCTAATGATGGGTATACTGTAAAATCCAAGTTTAACAGAACCTCCGGCACGATTTGAACATCCATTGACCCAGCAGGAGATGACCATTTTCAACTTTATCACGACATTAACACGTTTCAGCGGCTTACGAGTGCGTTGATGAATCCCACGTGGGGACTTCTTAGAAATCTACTTAAGGACAACTTGAGAAGAAAGTTGAGTAGTTTCTTACGAAGTTATTCGTGAATGAGGCCCAATGTAAATATTCACTGATTCAAAGTCAAAATGCTCTTTTTCTATGGCGCGTGCAGTTGTGGCAACTGCTCGTATCAAGTGGAGAACTCACGTAGTCTCTATTTTGCTCTAACAGGTGTCAATTTTTAGGAAAATGCCCAAAAAGGAACTGAAGAAATGCAAACTACAAACGCTGCATTCAAAATAGTTTTCACAAAAAATAAGACCAATACTAAGCCACGAAAAGCCCCTGTGTGTGTTTTCCTACATTTCTGCAACATTTTCAAATCGGTGCATCCCTAATGTCTGGATTTTAATATGAACAAATTCGAAGAGTAAGAGAAAGTAATGCCTTCTGAACACAGCATTCTATTTATTATTTATACTGTATATATATATATATATATATATATATATAATTTTAAAAATCTGAATAATGAATTGGCGGTACATGTATTCTGTTACTCCGGGATACTAATCATAAGCTACCAGTTTAGGCAAGATAGTAGCTCCTGTGGGGCTTGGCTAATGCAAAATTATGTTATAGAAATGTGATAAAGAGTTAAATCCACAGTCAAGTTGACCGGTTTCCCCCGATGAAGAGATGGCAGTGTCCTTATGTCAAATTTGCCTGGTAAAAGAGGTCAAAACTCTCTCCTCTTCCTGTGCTTAAGGTTAGGCGAAAGATACTTTATTTAAGTATACTTTCATGCCTGTTTTAATTAAACCTGACGAGAGGCGAAGAGCCAAGTGTCACATGCGGCTCGCGGGCCTGGAGTTTGCCATAGCCGTCATGGACAAGGCACACACGCACACAAACACGCACAGACACACACACACACCTGCGTCTCCATCTGCCTGCCCGAGTGAGACGTGACTCAGGCCTCCTGGCTTTCACTTCACATGGGACACTAAACACACACGCACAGCACATGCTCCAGCTCACACTCACTACAGCCTCTGCTGCACCGTGTGACAAGACTCCTCTGAGATACACGCAACACTTTACTAACAAGAGAGGACGGGATCTAATGACAACACAAAGTTATCTACAACAATCTGAAGACAAGGCTTTTATGAAATACTCATAATGTACAAACTCTTTCAATTCCAGTCCCAGCCATGAATTAATACACCTTTTATCTATGTATTGATTGATCACAATTTACTTTATCTATTTTTTTTTAGCAAGTCTCATACTGTAGGTCTATACCTTTGATAAACCCAATATCCCAATGATTAAGTAAGTAATCTTTATTTATATACCACCTTTTCACTGCACATCGGAGTCTCAAAGCGGTTTACAATTGTTATTTTTTGGGAGTGGGGGTGCCAGTACAGGAGGCACATGCCAGACCTATTGTACATATTTTTAGTGGTAGGGTAAACTACCAAACTCCACTCAGAAAGGCCGGGATTTGAACCCAGGACCTTCTTGCTGAGAGGCAAGAGTGCTATCCACTCAGCCACTGTGCCGCCCGAACATTTAAGGTGTCTGTTAAATGTTCTAAGCCTAAAACATGGGTCTTGGGGTTTTAAGGGGTTAAACACAATCATTTTTAACCTTCTCTGAATTCTAGAGTAGTTTACTTCTCTGATTTCTTCTCTGATTATACTTTAATAAACGATACTTGAACAAAACATTAATTTATTGTACAATTGACATCTTGATTCTTGAATCTTCATTCTTGAATTGCCCAATATACACGGTGGGGTGGATTATCTTGGGAAAAAAATAACTGCATTGACATTTTTGTTTGGTATAACGGAATTTATTTTTTCTGATTCTAGCGTTTAGATCATTGAATGTCATACCCTGTGATATACCATACGCACACAAAAGTATGCTGTTTGTAGCTACATTTTTACAGTAACATTGGGCAAAAGCCGACAGAAAAGTCATCATCTTTCTGGTGTAAAAGGCCATAGCTTGGGGATTACGTCTCTGCAAGTATACGGTGTTTTGTCACAGAACAAACATGGAAAGTAGGTCACGAAGGTCCTCTCAGATGAAAGCAGGTGAGGATGCACGGCACAACCATAACAGGGGAAAGAATCTGTCTCCTTCCACATCCTCTCCAAAATCAATCTGATCCAGTACTACAAAACGCTTTCTTGTCATCACTTTTCACCCTGCTCCAAGGCTATATTTCTTATGCAGTGCTTTCAATTTACACTTTGAGCACGTCTTCTTACACCAAATGCGTCCGTCTGGTTCCCTGTGCCGCTCAATGTGTATATTTAGCGATGTTTCCCACAGCGCCTCAACACAGAACAGTGAAAGAGAAGGCGCAGAAAACAGCAACAGAAGGGGAGCTAGATAAACACATCTAATTAGGATCCTATTGTTACGTGTATAAAACCGATCAACACACCCAAACAAAATCTATTCAGACATCACTGTCAAATTTATGGAAATAGCAAACAGAAACTCAATGCAATTAGGTCATATGCAAATATGTCAACAGTTGTTCAAAGCACGGCAGGTAGAACGTCTCGCAGACTGAAGCTGGGTGGTAGAGAGGCCATGCGAGTGAAGAATAAATCAGACGTGTGTTCCTTATTAAAAACAGTTCAGTGGAAAGGCAGCTGTAATGAGCCAGCAGCCGACACACTGTGAGACATTGTTGAAAAGTTTTCTCAAAATAATCACAAGAAAGAGTTAGGCTGTGAAGTTGTTGAATAACGTTTTTATATCGAGGGCCTTCCGTGCCCTCTATGCACTTGTAGAGTCCAGTGGAGTGCCATATACAGTCAATACAATGAGGAATAAGTCCCATCCGTTTTGTTCTGCCCAGAAGCTCGTAATATCCGTGATCAGTGTTGTACTTGTTTGAAAGGGGAAGGAGAACCCACAAAAGGTAAACAAAACCTGAGAAAGTTGGCAAATGGCAATCCCATGCTCAAAAATGGTCTCTAGTCACTGTTAATCATGGTAAAAACAAGAGTGGACTTTAGCTGCTTGTAGCCAGGAGGCAATAATTGTATAATAAGGTCTTTCTGGTCAAAGATAAGCAATTCTAAAAGTTGCAGTTTAGTTCAACAAAGATTTGTATAAGCATTGGAAAATAAGGGAATCTCAAGAAGCCAGAGACTTTAGACTGTGGTGGATATTTTTGTTTAAAACTTCAGTAAAATGTGATAAAAGCTGTAATGCCCAAGAGAGGCAAGCACTGGAATGATGAAGGATGAGAAGAGAATGGCGTACAAAGTCAAAAGGAGGAAACATTATTCTGAAACAAGCACCCATCATGAACTCAGCGCTTTTGTGCTCATGAATAAATATAATGGGATAAAATTAGAATGTGTGAAAACTCAAACGCTAATTTCTTGTGGCACAAAGGAACAACGTTTTATAATGCAAATCAAAGGAATAAAATCTATTTTTGTGCAACATGAATGCAGGAATAACGCATGGGTTTAGGAAGCACAGTGGTACGAGCGGTGCCCAAAGGGAAACACAAAAGCAGGGTGGGGGTTTGTAGAGAGGCTCAAGGCGCACATGAAGGAAAGATGAGGAAAAGGGTGAAGAGTGGGATGTGAGCTGGGAGACAGAGCTGAGCCTGGAAGGTAAAGGTGTCCTTAACTGTGACGTGCACCACAGCTGACGCTAACTCGCCCTGACACCGGTAAGCACACATATCCAGACACGCTGCTATTATTGTCCTCTCCACCAGTGTGCCACGCCCCAGCCAAGGCGCCATGACACCTGGGCCACGCAAAGCACTGGTGTGAGAGGGCTCCAGAGAGGGGCAAAGAGACCGAGCAGGACACAGAAATAGGTCAGGAGACATAGACTGAAATATCATCCCACACGTAACAACACTGAATGAAATATAATAATAATATAAAAACACTATATTTTCATGGATTAAACTTGAATTCACTACAGTATACAGTATATATGTTGAAAGTGGTTTGGTTATTTTATCTTGTACAAAATTAATGTTTCAACTCACAAAGCAAAGATGTGAGTTAGGGTCTGATTTGGACCACATACCATGTGAATTTTTGGTAATTACATATGCCACATGTGAGCGAAGTCCCAGCCTTGTGTTGCCAGTCAATGCCATGTGTTACCCCGAGGTTCACTAGATGCCAATTGTGGCCCACTTCTGGTTGACATCTGTTTGATCTATCATATTTCAGCTCGAGAACTACCATATCTTTGACACAAGTGACCAGAATTTCAAATGCCATATTTGGGCGGCGGTACAACTCGTATTTTTGCTATATGTGGCCCACATCTGCATACATTCTGGAAATAATGCATTTGTAGGAGATTGTCCGACTGAGATTGTGTTCTAGAATTACTAAAATAATGGGGTAGATGCCAGGCGTCTGTTTTGTATCAATCAGTGTATTTTATGTTGCGTCTCTGAGGACATATTATTTTTTGCTGCTTTGGTGTCAAAGGGGCTGAGATTACAATTGGCTTAGCAGATGATTTTTTAAATCCTTAATTGAAATAATGTTTCTCTCACCGCAGCAGAAAACTAGCTGGAGGCTGCTCTTATTAATCTCATACTGGTGAGTGTGCGTCAGTAAGATACAGTACAAGTGAGTCTGTTTGCATTGGTTCACCTTTGGGTTACAACGGATATCAGCATTAGAGCTGAAGAAAAAAGCATTGCCGCTGCCTAGAGCAGAGATGGATGAATATTTGATCAGGCTGCTCTTTGCTTAGCGTGTGCAAATATGTGAGTGCCAGATTGAGAGGAGACTGTGGAGGTCAACGCTGAGTTCACCTTTTGATATCACACCTCTGTTTCATCTCTGCATCTATTTTTTTCTGTCCTCTCTTGCAGGACTGTGCAGAGACTGAAGTGGACCGGAACAAGTGCTGTACACTATGTAACATGTTCTTCACCTCTGCCATCGTGGCTCAGTCACACTATCAAGGCAAGACACACGCCAAGAGAGTCCGATTGGTGTTGGGGGAGCCGCCTGCAGCGCTCAACAGTCCTTCAAATCCAGGTAACACCATTGTAAAGGCATCTTTTAAAGACACACACTCTACTTTACTACTGAAAAGATTGAGAGAGTTTGAATCAAGAGTCCCTAATATGCAAATTTACAATAATAGGTCCGAGATGGAATGTATGAGGAAAAAGACAGAATGACCTGGGAGAGAAGAGGACTTCAAGAAAGATTAGAGTCAAAGCAGCTTTCATAAAAACTCAAGACAAGAGTACAGCTTTGTGAATGTCTAGCCAAACTGACAGGCGTCTGCTCAGAGACACAAATACAACGAGACAAAATGGCAGATACATTGAATATACATGCTTTGGGGAGATAATGGTTGAACACTTTCATGCAAGTCTCATGAGATGAAAGATGTATTTTGATGATATCTGTGTTCTATTTATTCAAAACCTTTTATGGTTTCATAAAAGAAACGTGTAAAATATCAAATACATTCCAGATCAGGAAATGATTACAATCTCAAGGGATATTTTTGTTTTGTCTTGTATTTAGCTTAAGAGACATAAGTGAAGCAAGTGCAGTTAAATGTTCTCCGGGCACAGAAGGTGAGCCAGGTCCTCGGCAGTTTTCCTCAAAACAGATAATAAAAGACACATGAAGGAGTTCATACTTCACAAGTGTATTCAGATTAGTCACAAGGATCATCTGTGAGTGGGCAAAAGTCTAAACAGGCGTCATTGTAGCATGTAGTCATTAAGTTAAAAGTCATTGACACTGTAGCTGGTAAATCGGCACATTTGGGTACACCATCTGGCACGTGGTACTAGTCATACAGAGTTTGGCGATGGACATAACACCCCAAGCTGTGTACAAACAGTTTGCATGGGGAATATTTACCCGCACTCTAAAATAAGAGAATGCCTTTAGTGAATGTTATCATATCGTAAAAACTCAAAGAGCTCTCATGCAGCGTCACAGTGAGATTCTCAGCAGAGTCCCGAGGACATGTCCGTGCCGTTGGCTATTAATGGCTGATCACCATGGTAACAGTGTCATGTCATGAGGAGCAGGTCACCTGGAAGCCCAGCATTTTGTTCTTTGAAGCCAGAGGGCAAAGATGAAAAAGATGGGAGGAGATTAACAACGAATGAAGACTGGGAGGATGCTAAAGTAATTGTGTCACTAAAGTTTTTGACCACCACCTAAAGATGCTGAGTAGGATGCATGAAAGGAATGAGCTTTGATGGAAGCGGAATACACTAACCAGGGGCTCTGTTGTTCACATTACAAATGCTCATTTCTATATTTCTTTCTTTTGCAAACATACTGCCCCATATAAAGAATATGGCTGCAACAAAAACATATAACAATGCACCTTTTTGGTATATTACTTTTTAGACACTCAAAGATGATTTACATTACATTATGGGTAGATACAAGACTACCAATCTGAGCCATCGGCCCCTCTGACCTCCACTGATTACATGGAAGGTTTTTTTTCACACACACTAGCTTCAATTGTCTATGTTTATCTTATGGCCTCACACTATAAGCACAGTTTCTTTCAAAGTCACTTTACCGCCCACCATAACGTCACTTTACTACTGTCAGCTTATTGCACTGCTTACTGAATATTGTGTGCACTATGTGCACTTGTATATTGTGTATAGTTATTGTAATCATTGTATTTTAACCTTTATACCTCTTCTTTGACTGTTGCACCGAGCAAAAGCAATTTCCCAGTCTCTGACTTCCTGTTACTTACATGGCAATAAAAATGAGTTGACATGGGTTTTACTTTTCACCAGTACTCAATTCCCAAACTATATTTTACACTGGGCAATGTGGGTGAAGTGTCTTGAGGGACACAAACAATTTAGCACTTTGCAGACTCAAACCCCAGTGATCTCCCATCACATTACTATTTGGGCTTTGTCGAAAAGTTAACTAAAATACTACTTTTCCCATAGTCTCTTGCAGTGATTTACACATTGCTTTGGTACTATATTTTATTTTCTAAAGAAAGAAGGGTAAGGCACCCTTTCATGCCTGAATCCAGCCTTGAAAACAAAATACTGTAATTCTGGAATATAATTAATTGATATTAATAACTTAATTTCTTTATTTTTTCAAAGATTCTTCACCACCAACTCCACTGCCTATCGAGCCAAACTCGAGCCCCAATCCTTCGCCCATGTTGCCCTGGCCAGTAACTGTGGTTGGGGCAAATGGTGGGAGAGAGGCGGGAAAATACTGTTGCCTTTGCGGAGCCTGGTTCAATAATCCACTGATGGCACAACAACACTACGAAGGCAAGAAACACAGAAGGAACGCTGCCCGGGCACGTCTCCTGGAGCAGTTAGCCGGCAGTCTGGATGCCACGGAAAGCACAGGTCAGTATCTTATCCCCAGTCAGATGGCTGCGGCACTCTGGAGCAGGAAAGATGATAACACGGAGATAAGCTTTGAAATCTGTAGCTATGGCTGCAGTACAAACAGGTGACAGAGAGGTACTTGTGAAGACCATTAGGTTACATTAGGCTACCAGAATCACTGTTAAACGCTACATACTGGCATTTGTATTATTAAATTATAAAAACAAAGGTTGCTCACCCATCATCTGTACTTCAGCTGATGGGTGAGCAACCTTCCTTTGTTTTAAATAACCCCTGTACGACTGAGAGCTTTCACAAACGTATTAAATAAATAAAAAACCATATAGATATAGTTTTAAATGTTTTTAAAGTGAATGTTCAAAAGGCCAATTAGTGATTTATACACAAAATTGGGTCAATGTGTCCAAAAATAATAGTGGAAGCACTTTGTCAACCGTAAGTCACTGTGCAAGGTTCCTGAGTCCCACAGAGACTCCTCCAGCCTACAGCATGAAGAATAGACGAAGGCAATGAAAACTCTCTGTCAAAATCTCAAAGTGAGAAGTGCTGTCAAATGTCACTTTCCAACTTCATATTTAAACTTCACATTCAAAGCCTTTTCTGCACAAAAACCACTGCGACCCACGTGCATTTCACAGAAGAAGAAGGACAGGGCCCACACGGCAGACACCTGAACAGACTTCGTTGCTCGCAGAGCAACAGAGACGAGTCTGTAAGAAACCGAGGTCGCACTCAAAGGTTGAGAGCAGGTGTGAGGAGATGTACAAACCATGATGGCTCCCACATGTTTGCTCTGCTTTTATTGATCAAAAATCTTCACTTTAGTGTTTACCATAATGAGCCCATTTGGCAAAGATGTCCGACAATGCTCCATTGACAGTGCTTTATCAAATCTGAAGTGTCACGTTATTTTAAATGTAAGTCGATTTCAAAATGTACGTGGTCCTCAGTTTTATTTTGAATTACACTATGAACAAGTTGACAAGGGACAGTGTCCCGCTAAGGCATCCTGGTATTCTCAGGGGTCTCTTTCCTCTTGCTGTGCTTCTGAGATCTAATGAGACCAGTAAACAGGTTAAGGCATTAGAATGCCTTATATAGTATGCAATTTATTTTTGGCAAGCCTTTTCTGAAGTTGGAGTATCAAATAGAAAATGTACTATTTGTTGAGCAGGCATAGAATAAGTAATAAGTAAGACTTTTATGCTCAGGGGCCATGTCAGTGTTTGCTTATTATTGCCCCTAATTTACGAGTGTTGCCGCTGAACCACTACAGTGCTCTTGGAGAGTTGTTTACTAGGCCACTTGTCTGCGGGCTATGTTTCTGTGCAAGACAGAGCAGTGAAAGAGTTGGCTCATCTATCATACGAGCAAATATTTGTCTCTGCCTAATTAACTGTATCTACTGTACGTCCAAGTCAGATTTGACACCTTATTCATCACATGTTCTCCATTGTATAACCTTTCATGTGGAGTATCTGGGGAGAGGGTCTTTTCAGGCAGAGAGCAAGTAAAACAAAAACAATATTAAAGTCCAATATTAGAAATCCATTTTAAAAATGAAAAACAGAAAAGTTCAGCCGTACTTGATTGGTGTTTTTGCACCATTGTATTCTCCCACACACTTCTGTTCACTTACAAATGCAGAGAGAGAACACAGATTTACAAGCATATCTGCCAGGTGGCTATTTTAATTAAATTAATAATAGACTTTGGCATTGAAACGTCCTTGGGTGGTTTGAAATCAGTCAATACATGTGCTGATCTGAATGCAATGGTACATGCAGTCGAGCAAAGCTGTTCTTTTTCCTGTGTGCTCCAGGTGCCATGACACAAACCATCGTCTCCCAAAGCCAATCACATTAAAAGCATGAGTCACGTAGCGCCTGCACTGGCTCAGAGGCTTTAAGTGGTGTCATGTTGGATGCCGTTCCTCTCTGTGCATTGACCCAGATCTTTCTACCTTAGCCTTTTGGATTTTGGATATTATCACAAAAGGGTGTCAAACTATTTTTAACAGTCAAACTCAGATATTTGCACCAACACTACCACTACATCAACATAAATAACTATCAGCCATTCATGATCACCCAGACCCCAATATCTCACCACACACGTCTGACACAATCCATTATGGACTCTATCAATCATCACTTTATCATACTTCCTTCACACCCAAAAACGTCAGGAGGCTACTTTGTCATCATTATACGTTTTTGTTCTTTTCTCACATCTGATTGACTTTCACCAGCTCTTTAAAAGTGAAGTCTCAGGTATAATCTCAAAGGGAGATGTGGTGACAGCTGCGAATAGGGAAGGCAGGCGATGAGAAATACAGTCACAACAGAATGCGCATCCATCTCCGTCTTTGGTCGTGTTAGTTTCCGCACTCACATTGGTGTTCCTTTGTTCATTTGTTGGGAGAATGCCGTGTATACCTCTGGGGTTCGAACGTCTCATCTGTCATTCTCATTGGCATCCCTTGAGACAAAGCTAAATTATTTCCAGACCAATATATCCCCCTGGTTTTGCTTACCGTACAGTCTGCCATAGTTCATAGATGCTACTGACCTTTATTAGCAGTTGTTGCATATATTCTGTTTGGTCTCCTCCTTCGTCAACGCCACATGAGATTTCCATCATTACTATTTTTCACTCCTGGATTGTGTGGTGTAATTGCACGGACAGGGCACAAGGGAAAGTGGGGGATATTTTCTGTTGCTATGTGCCAGACAAACCATAGGAGATGGATTACAGAGGCTGCTGGTGAGGAAGGGAGACCGCTCGACTGGACTGTCTTAACATAAATCATGACAGGGCCGCAAACCCCTGAAGACATGTCCACGCATTGTGCCCCCTCTCTGGAGACTGGCTGGGGGATGAGCATGGGTCAGACAAGAGCTGAGATTGGAAAGCGAGAAGCCAGAGTAGTGGAGCAGAGAAAATGATGCGTAATTGATTATTGTGGCGGGGCGTGCAGACGGGACTGACCTGCTATCCCAAGAGGACTCTCACTCCGGGACGTCCCAGTTGAACTCCAAGCTCACGGTTCACAGCTCTGAAAGATATGGAAAGATACGACGCAATGAAACGGCCAGGAGTTAGAAAGCATTGACACTGTGTTTAAGGAAGCAAGTAATAATTCTAATAATAACTAGAAACTTGCAATGGCTGAAGCCATTGCGATTGACTGCGGAACAGATCTAATGTGGAAATCTGCTAAAAAAAATCCTTGAAATCCTTTAAAAAGCCTTGAAACTGTTAAAATACTTGATAGATATTTGAAACTCCTGAAGTCCTTGAAATTGTTGAAACCTTTAAACTCCTGAAATCCTTGAAACTGTTGAAACATTGAAACTCCTGAAATCCTTGAAACTTTTTTAAACCTGGAAACTGTTGAAAGTGTGGAAACTCCTGAAATCCTTGAACCTCCTGATATCCTTGAAACTGGTTAAATTCTTAAACAGCTGAAATCCTTGAAACTACTGAATGTATTGAAAGTGTCCTTGAAACTGAAAAATCCCCTCACCGCTGAAACAATTTGGTTCCTGTAACTAAGGAAACCTGGTCTGTGGTCATTATCTGGTGGTGGTCTGAGTCTTCGTTTGGGTCTTGGTCTGGTGGTATAATGCAACCTATTAGGTTGCATTATACATGAAAAAACCCTATTAAGTTGCATTATACTGGTTTACATGAAAAAAACCCTATTAAGTTGCATTATACTGGTTAACATGAAAAAAACCCTATTAAGTTGCATTATACTGGTTTACATGGAAAAATCCCTATTAAGTTGCATAATACTGGTTTACATGGAAAAATCCCCATTAAGTTGCATTATACTGGTTTACATGAAAAAAACCCTATTAAGTTGCATTATACTGGTTTACATGGAAAAATCCCTATTAAGTTGCATTGTACTGGTTTACATGGAAAAATCCCTATTAAGTTGCATTATACTGGTTTACATGAAAAAAACCCTATTAAGTTGCATTATACTGGTTTACATGTAAAAACCCCTATTAAGTTGCATTATACTGGTTTACATGGAAAAATCCCTATTAAGTTGCATTATACTGGTTTACATGGAAAAATCCCTATTAAGTTGCATTATACTGGTTTACATGGAAAAATCCCTATTAAGTTGCATTATACTGGTTTACATGGAAAAATCCACATTAAGTTGCATTATACTGGTTTACATGAAAAAAACCCTATTAAGTTGCATTATACTGGTTTACATGAAAAAAACCCTATTAAGTTGCATTATACTGGTTTACATGGAAAAATCCCTATTAAGTTGCATTGTACTGGTTTACATGGAAAAACCCCTATTAAGTTCCATTATACTGGTTTACATGTAAAAAAAAACCCTATTAAGTTGCATTATACTGGTTTACATGGAAAAATCCCCATTAAGTTGCATTATACTGGTTTACATGAAAAAAAACCCTATTAAGTTGCATTATACTGGTTTACATGAAAAAACCCTATTAAGTTGCATTATACTGGTTTACATGGAAAAATCCCTATTAAGTTGCATAATACTGGTTTACATGGAAAAATCTCCATTAAGTTGCATTATACTGGTTTACATGAAAAAAACCCTATTAAGTTGCATTATACTGGTTTACATGGAAAAATCCCTATTAAGTTGCATTGTACTGGTTTACATGGAAAAATCCCTATTAAGTTGCATTATACTGGTTTACATGAAAAAAACCCTATTAAGTTGCATTATACTGGTTTACATGTAAAAACCCCTATTAAGTTGCATTATACTGGTTTACATGGAAAAATCCCTATTAAGTTGCATTATACTGGTTTACATGGAAAAATCCCTATTAAGTTGCATTATACTGGTTTACATGGAAAAATCCCTATTAAGTTGCATTATACTGGTTTACATGGAAAAATCCCTATTAAGTTGCATTATACTGATTTACATGGAAAAATCCCTATTAAGTTGCATTATACTGGTTTACATGGAAAAATCCCTA